TTATTATTATTATTTGGCCATATACAAAATAAAACACGAATAAAGATTTCATACATTATTTATTTTTTTTATATTTCGGAGTTACAGTGTGTCATAGGTTATTTACCGCAAGCCAAAACATTTACTTTTTACCCCAAAATGGTATTTTAAAGCTTGTACCTTACGATACAACCAATTGAATTTAAATATATGGTATCATAAAGAAAGCAGTTTTAAACCTATTTATCAAATTATGTGTCTAAAAACACATTACATTAATGCTGTACCCAAAAGGAGGAACAAACTAATTTTAAATGATCTGGTATCATACAAAAGCTATTAAATTATCTACTAAATGATGTATATAATGACACATTATATTAATTTTGTGACCCAAAAATTACCAAAAAGATATTTATGAATTTATTTTGCTACATTTAATAATACGCAATAGTTACCGTATTAAATAAATACGAAAATATTATAAAAATGAATTTGTTTAAGAGACCCATATTGCTGCAGTATACGAAGCTGTTTAAGGGACATGATGAATTTTTATTTTATTTTCCTAACCCGTACGTACGCCTTATTAAATCGTACGTACGCCTTATGGGTTATTAAGGCGTACGTACCCCTATTAAGGAGTTTTAGATATGCGACGACGAGTAATCTAGGACGATATGCTAATTATCTATGACGTATTACAATGTTGGCCATACAGATGATAAGCTCTTGTTTTAGTTTTGCGACGACGATGCAAATACGTACGTCACCACCGGACATGCTTGAGTGAATTGAAAATAAACACTGTACTAATATTAAATACTTGGGCATAGGCCTAGGCCTGCCCTTACTACAGGTAATAAATATTATACTATAGCCTAGGCTTAGGGCCTAGGCTTTTGTGGGGTTAGGTTTATACTGTGTAGGCCTAGGTCTAGCTAGGTTAATCATCAAAAGTACAGTACAAGCATTATCCTTTAATTGTAAAAACAATATTAATCATACTTAGGCCTATATTTTTTTCAAATTCTATGTCAAACACATCCATGAATCCTACAATGTAAAAATAAATCCAAAGCTTCCTTTTATAAATAAAACTGTAAAGTTTTGTACTAACGTAGCATACATGCTGTACAAATGATGTCTCTGCACTGAATGAACTTGAAACTGTTGCGTACGCTGTGTATAACAATTTATTGTTGTGTTCCTCCCCTATAGTAAACATCTTATTATTCAGGGATCAACTAAATAAACTTCCTCAATTTTTTTATATTGCAAAAAACAAACCATGCTGTAAAATAATAAATATTCTATGCATCAATATTATTTTAAGAATTTATTTTCAATTTGTTCAAATTTTTTTATACTGTTCTTTCAGGTCTATTGTTTTTTTAATTTGTCATCATCTTCTGGCTTAATTCCACTCCAATTATTATTGTATAATTATTATTTTTATTCATTTTACCCTCCTATATTAGTGAAAGTGGACTAAATAAGTTTCTTTGTGTCGTTTGTAAACCACCAAATATTGTTTCTTTGTTTGAAAATTTCGAAGATGCAAACTATGGTATAAACAAATTAGATAAAAGTTCAGACCTTTTTATTAAAATCAGAGACATGTAAGATACAAGCATATTCGTGTATAGTTTTATATTAGTCTTAAGACTTTATAATCCATTGTTATAGAGAAATTGTAAGAAAATGTTTTTCGATACTGTGCATAGTGGCGGACCGTAGGGTAAATTGCAGGGTATGCTAGGCTTTGGCGTATCTAGGGTGTACGAGGGGAGCACACACCTCTCAACCCCCCCCCCATACTCCCTCCCTCAGTTTCCCCCAATCTTGCTGAAGTAGTTAAAAAAAAAAAATTCCCTCAAATCACCTTATTTTGCGAGTTGAACTCCCCATCACCTAATCATCGATTTTCGCCTTCCCGATCCTATCAGCACTCCACTTCCTTTGCATGAGCCCTACACCACTGATGCTAGGGCTTGCTATAGAAAAAGTTCGTACTATACATAATCAAAGATTGCGTTTTACAGCCAAAATACAAATGTATGTTCTTTTTTATACCGGCATGGGTGTAGTTTCTTCTCTTCAAAGGAATTCCTATTACTGTGAGTTTAAAAAAAAATCAATTAAAATAATACAAGTTTCTTCTATACCGGTCATTTTAACTTTAATTATTGAGATTATAGAATGTCTGGTATACGATTTATCTGATCGGAGTGGATGCCCCAGCAGCGATTTTTTCTTTTCCGTACGAAACATTAAACTTCACTGAGGCCGTGTCGACATAGTACAAAATACATAATAGGCATGAGCTTGCCATTTTTTGCTGTATAAATCGGAATCTGTACACATGCATCAAGAGTCGAATTATTATTTAAAAACATAGTGGTCTAAGCAGTATAAGCCTAACTTATAGGCCTTTCAGTGGCGGCGCCAGCGGGGCGGGGGCAGCACGGGCTTAATCCCCTACCGGACAGGTCAAGTCCCCCTCCCCCCATCGGGCAGAGCTCGTCGGGCAGTCGGAATAAAAAAAATTTGGGACGGGGGACACCCACTCAAACTATTCCCACAGCTCGGGCCTACGAGCTCAAGTCCCCCTGTTGGACAGCAACCCCCCCCCCCCCCATAAATGTATCCTAGCCACTGTACCTTTGACCAGCACTGGCGCGTACGGGGCGTAAAATGAGATTTTTGGTAGACTCGTCGATCGCTGTACGTGTAAACAACATATGCTTGGTTTATTTTTACGCAGTGGCTATGTTTACAACTCTTCATAGGCTACGATTACGTCCATACGACGGCGCATGCGTACGTCTGTCTGGGAACACCCGGCGTTTTTCCCGGCTACAATTTTTTCTTTCGTACTAAACATTTGCATAAAACTCAACTCGGCTGCGAATTTTCTTAACGTAGGAAAGTTTGGTAAAATTTCATAAATTATTAATAAGACCAAAAAAAAAAAAAAAAAAATGTGTTGCCTTAAATGGAAAAAAATCGAGATTATCGGTCGGATTTTTTTTTTCTTTTTAGTAATACCTGAAATAGGATAGGCCTCAAACTGCAGTCTCTATTATGAAGACCAGGTCTGGCTCGTTGCTCTTAGGCATCACAATAGAACGATAGCAAGCTTGCCAAACAACAAAAATATTCAAAGTAATGATGGATTATACTAACCAAGTGTATAATATTGAAATAAATTTAAAAAAAATAAATCAGTTTAAAGAAAGTTTTATTTGGCTTCGAAACGTAAAACAATAAGTGTATCCGATCCACACGATCACGCACTGGCAGGTCGAGCAACCATACTATTATGAAATATGTCCCAACAAGCGCCCTGTAATACAATCGACGAATAAAAAAGAAAAATATTCGGAGCCCAAGTCTAGCTATGTAGCGGCTTTAAAGCGATGGCTAGACCTCATGAGATCTGTTTTTATTTATTGTCCAATATACTTCAAGCAACCATTAGCTATACAGTAGTAGATTAGATCTGGTCGTGGCTTGACCAGTGGCGGCTCTAGGGTATAATTTATGGGCGTGGAGGAAGATGTCTGACTGGGGGGGGGGGGGCTAAGTATTTATGGGTGTAAATATAGCGTGCAGCGTTATCTGAGGGCCGAAGGCTAGAGCCAGGGATGGGTATGGGAGTGGGTGTCCCCTCCTTCCAAAACGAGATTTTTTTTTTAATTGGGACTTCTAGATAGCCGGAAATGGCTGGGATAGGAAAACTACTTGGCCTAGTTTATTTTATTTATTTTTTTTTTGGTCCGACTGCCCGACGAGCTTTGGCCGATGGGGGACTAACCCCCTGCCCCTCCCCGCTGGCGCCACCATTGGGCTTGACAGCTCAGCGCGAGAGATCCGATGATGTGTGCATATTATCGTCGTCGCGCTCGGTTCTCCAAATTATGCCTTCTATTTTACCGATTTTACGCGTGCATCTATATGGCCCGATTTTGATACATGTCTCTTTTAGACTTTATGTTATTAATGTTAATTTTGGCAGTGGTATTTGCCGAATCTGTACTTGAACATGCAAAATAGGCCTATTAAAAAAAAAATGCCGACCCGATTTTTTGGAAAATTTCGGTCGGTTGCGGAGGGCAATACAACATTTTTTTTTGGCCTAATCATCCTTATAGAACATATTTTGCGCATGCACTATTTGCAAGTCTGTGTCACCCTCATTTTATCGCGAAGGACCTGTGTGCTCGATTTTGGTAGAACAACACACAACGCACAATTCACATTTACGGCCCTGGGATTCATATTTTTGTATGGACCTTGTATTTGAATCAATGCAAAAGTAAAACAAGTGATTGATAGTTGATTCTGGAGTTTAATTACGTTTACTGTCAATCTGAAAATACAAGCTACTGTTTAATAGTTGTTCAATTAAAATGCTCCATTTTTTAAGTCTACGACAGCCTGAACGATCAGTTCAGCTCCGTTTCGCGATTCAACCGTTGTATGGGCCTTCCTATGCTTCTTCCATTCTATTACAGACTACCTGTCGGTGTACTTTCGTTCAGGATAAGGGCAGGGGCTGTAAGATAGAGCAATACACCCGGGGTACGGGGTAAACCATATTCGTCTCGAAAGATGTACTACGTTCTTTATAGTGCACACTAAGCTAACTGTGTACTCTGGGCCTACAGTTTATAGTCCTTATATACAGGGGCGGATGCAGGATTTGGCGGTAGGGGGTGCGTGAGAATCCACACCACCTCAGCCCCAACCATGGTGGGAGAACATTTTTAGAATATGGACCTCAAGGTGCCCGGAAATCGCACTCTCATACTTTCAAAATTTTAAAGGTACTATATTTTTATTGATAAAAATAATATATGAACATCACAATAATGTACAATTATTTTTTATTATACAATATTAATATTGGGTGCGTTCGCACCATCTGCACCCCCTCTGCATCCCCCTGCCTTATCCAGAAAGACTTGCTCCACCCCAGAGCATATGGAGCGTGTATTTGAATCAATGCAAAATTAAAACAGGTGGTTGCTTTGATACATTGAAGTGATAGACCTACCGTCAGCCTGCAAATACAATACTAACTAGGCCTATTGTTCAATTAAAGTTTTTTCTTTAAAAAAAAAAAATTAAGCTAAGAAACTTCGCTGGATGCTGCGAAAGTGCCGCTACTGTACAAACTAATAAACAAGTTGCATAAAATATATAAATCACATTCTTTTATATTTACTTTGAAATATGTGGTCACTATAAAATAAAACAGACCGGCTGTTGATAAACCGGTAACAGACTGAATGAAGGCTCTAATCTTGCGTATAAATGTACTCATCAAATACCATTGTGCTCACTGGGCCTTTGTTGAATGCCCATCTAATCTCAGCCCGATTATAGTTGGGTGAGTTTCAAACATTTTGAGAATATGAACCCGGTGCCCGGAAATTCTCAAACCTCAGCTTAAAAAATCTTACCGGTAATTCATATCAAGAATACAACAAATATTTTTCCTAATACAAGTTTAAGGGATGCGATCGCACCGTCTGCTGCCCTCTCCCCTACATCCGCCCAGCCGCATTTACTGTATACGCTCAGCCAGTGGTGGCGCCAGTCAGCCCCTTCCCCCTCCACCGTCGGGGAGAGCTGGCCACCGTCGGGGAGAAAAATCCCAATTCGTCGGGGAGAAAAAATGTATATGTATTTTTTTAATATTAGTATGCTCTAAAGTCACCGGCCCCCTGTCGGGGTCGTCAGCACACTCTTGAGTTTATGGAACTCAGATAACGATTCTTTCTGTCTTTGAATTTCCATCTATCACGATGATTATTTGTTACCATATTAAATAAAATTTTAGTGTGAGAATACATTAACGATGGCGACGATGACGAAGATGATGACGAAGATGACGATGATGATGATGATATGATGATGATGATGATGATGATGATAATGATGATGATGATGATGATAATTATGATGATGATGATGATGGGGCGGACCAAAAACCAGATGTTTGGTTTCGTTACATTGATGATATCTTCATGATCTGGACCCATGGTGAAGATAGTTTGGATACGTTCCTATTTAACAATTATTCGGCTCCTGTCTCTTATACACATCTCAAAAATATTCCCAAGGAAGAACCTCAACCCTCCTTCCAGTGGAGTTCATCGATTCATGAAAAAAAAGAATGTTTGTTTCTGTGTATACCGGTACACACATAATTAGACCTATTTACTCTAATAATATTGAAAAAAAAAAATCACACCCCTTTTTTTTTTGAGTTTTTGTGAAAAGCTGTGACTCCCTAACCCTAAATGTAAACCAAGATCCGCCCCTGGGCTAGGTGGGTTAGGCTACAAAAGTAAGTGCTAAAAAGCCATTACATTTCAGAAAAGGACAGTTTCTCTGAAAAACTATCGGTTAGTTATTTTATGTTGGTCATAATGGCTTTGACCAGACTGGCATGAAGATCAGATAACGTATGCCTAAGTCAGTGTTAATAAAGGCTTGGGTCGTCAGCACACTCTTGAGTTTATGGAACTCAGATAACGATTATTTCTGTCTTTGAATTTCCATCTATCACGATGATTATTTGTTACCATATTAAATAAAATTTTAGTGTGAGAATACATTAACGATGGCGACGATGACGAAGATGATGACGAAGATGACGATGATGATGATGATATGATGATGATGATGATGATGATGATAATGATGATGATGATGATGATAATTATGATGATGATGATGATGGGGCGGAGCACCTAAACACCTGGGGCCATGGTTCACGGAACTATCTGAACCACCGGCATGACCGATTGAAGCGTTGCAGAAAGCAATGTTCACCATTATATTGTGTGATATTTATAGAAGTTTGTTGGAAATTCGGATCATGACACTATGGTGACAAACATACTTTCTGACCATGTCTACGCCCAGTTCGTCCGTATTCATCCAACTGACTGGTATATTCGTATAAGTTTACGATTTGAGGTTCTTGGATGCTGCTCAGCAGGTAAATTTAGATTAAATTGATAATTTAGTATATGTCACAATGTACAGCAGAGTAAATTTAATAGGAAAGCTTTAGTTTTCAACAATATCTCAACACACTACGAATTACAGCACTAAGTGAAATAGAATTTGAAAATATTTGTTTACGAAATTTTCGTTAATTGATTTTTTTTCTTTAAAAATAGGCCTAATTACTTCAAAAAGAATACTTTATAGATGTTTCAAAAAATTCGAATAGACCTGAAGTGCCATCCTATTATATACACTCAGTAGTTTTATAAAACTCATATTGGAGTGCCATTGAAACGCTTTATGGTTAATTTACTTGCCTTCAAATCACAAGGTTCTAGGATCAATTACGCATGCCTGGGGTGTGTCTTTGTGTTAAAATGGTGTTTTTAAAGAAAGTGAAAAAAAAAACCAAAACAAAACAAAACAAAAACAAAATAAAAAAACCCCCAAAAAACAGGCTTGAAGGTACTGGAATCTTAAAAAGAAAAATAGGATGTTGCATCATAAGAACAATTTGGCATACAAACAAAATCGATTGGTGATGATAATGTCGATGATAATGAAGAATATGATAATAATGATAACGGTAATGATAATAATAACAACTGTTGTTATTGCGGCGTTGGTGGCAGCATAAGCATTATTGTATTACTAACTTTATTTAAACGTACAATAACTTACCATGAATCTGATTAGACGTCTTTTATTAATATAGTTAAATTTTCTTTTGTCCAAAACAATGCTTGTTTTAGTAACCAGTCGTAAAAAAGTTAATATTTAAAAAAAATAGTAAACTTAAAATGAAAACTTTATTTACCTCTGTATATTTTTGTGTAGACAAAATGGCTGAACACTCAACTTATTACAAGTCTTTAAATTTTCATCGTTCAATAACGACTCAAAACTCGACAGGAAGCTGCATTCGATGTGCTGTGAAGTGTATGAGGGCACCAGAATGCAAGTATTTCAAATGCGATGGAGGATGCCACCTTTACACCTGCAGTAACGAAGACAATGTCGTTGCTTTTCTGTTTGGCTCATATATTCCTTTCCACTAAATCCTTTCACTTTGAAATTTTTTTTTGCTAAGGTCTCGAAAGTATAAACGTACGTGTACTTATTGGACATGCGCAAGATTCTTGCCTTGTCCTGATTGGTCAGTTGCTAAGTTTGATCACTCTTGAAATAGGGCTAATGAAAACTGTGTATGCTGTAATTTTATTGCAAATGTGTTCACTTTGTTTAATGGAACCCATAATGTAATTTTAATCTTAGCAATATGAATATTATTCAACATTTTAACAGTGGTAATTGAACTAATTTTTGATTTTTTAGATTTCGTATATTTTGGTAAAAGTACTTTTGAATACAGAAAAAAAAGTTTAAACGTGATTATTTTGCATAGGACAATTCCCTTTTACCGTACGCAAACACGTGGTTTTTTTTGGGAAAACACGTATGTTTGTGAAATGCGGGCTTACTTCTAGCCCAGGTATTATTAGCGAGTTGGTAAGTTTTATTGTTGTACAAGATCGAAAGGAAGATTTATAACGACAATGTAGAATAAAAGCTAATGCATAATTTGTAAACAAAAAATACTTAAATGCCAATGTTGCAACAATTTTGCTTGATATGTGAGTTTATATACGATCGGGCTTGGCCTGAGCTAGGCGAACCAGATTTAGGTTGTCTTCTACTGGACCACAATTTAATTTATAAATTTAACTTTTTAAATTATTTTTGGGTGAATTTTAAATTTCATTATTACTATTATTATTACGATTATTATTATTATTATTATTATTATTATGATTATTATTATTATTATAATTAGTATTATTATTCTTACAGCAAACCTCTAAGGGATTATGAACTGTGTTATTTACGGATGGAATAGTACATATTTTACAAAATCCCTCAGAGTCGTAAAAAGTCTCTTCTTTTATGTCAATTAAGCGTTGACAAAGATTACAGGAGTAGCCGAAATATTCGCCTAATAAATTTTATTGTTTCTAAAGTCAACATCTTACGTATTTGAGTTTCTTTACTGTTACGTTATATTATATTCTACATTTATGTTTCGAAACACACGTGGACACGCCTTCTTCACACAATGCACTCAGTGCAAACCTCACCGACAACACAGTGTCCACGGAATGAACACACAGTGGAGCACAGAGTGTTCACAGATTGAACACCTAATGGAGCTGAGTTTGTGTTCCATAGGCGTTTACTCCAACGACAGAGTAATGCTATTTGTAAAGTGTATAATGGGGCATAACGCACTATATAAGTATATCATTATTATTATTAGTACTAGTAATGTTAAATGATGTATGAAAATTATACTGTTTTTTATCATTTCGATACTGTTTTATTTCATTACCATCATCATTATTTCAATAATGTCATTATCATCATAACAACTGCAATATTACACACACACACAAAAATCAATTATTACGTATCAGTCGGCATCGTCAATTACCAATACTACTTTAGTGCCTGAGCACCCATACACACACACATAC